TTGTCATCGAGAAGAAATCATTCGATTGATTATTGTCGACAATATCCAGTGATAATCGAAATGTTTTTCAAGAATGTTTTTATTTATGTCAAGAAATTCATGACGGGGTTGGAAAATTGGCAGCAGCAGAATATTTAATACTGAGAAAAAAACTTTAAACATTTTTTTCACGAAAAAACAAATTTTCAAGCGAAGTCGAAAGGTTTTTGCCCTAGAATAACTCAAACTTGAAGTTAAAAACTATTGAATAAATGCAGTCAAATTCAGTTTGAGATATCACTTTCTTGTCATAATCAAACAATACGACTTTGGCACACGTACAAAATCTCTCGGTTTCTTGTCTCATTGTAAGAAATTTTCCCGTCGTCAATTTTCGAGTTTCTGAGTACAAATAAACACGTACTTGTCACAAGTAGTTTTTTTTCTCAGAGCATTTGGCCCGCTCCCCCCTAGATCTCTATTTTTATTAAATCACTTCAGTCATTGTCAAGACTGTCATGGAATAAACTAGGTCGTCATGATGCACACCCACTGAATATTTTCACTTTCGTCTCGGATTTATTAAGTGTTATGTATTTTTGTCGCAGCATACGTACCGTATTTATTTCTGTTGCTATAGGATACAACTGAGACAAAACTCTACCAGAAGAAAAAAAAGGGAATGGGTGAATGATCACGAGAGAGATATGAAATAATAACGAAATATATATTACTCAATTACAAAAGGGAACATAAACATTCACATTGAGGGGATTTGGGGGAGTGTGAGGGATGAGGATGGGGATGGGTGATTTTTTTGTTTATTGTTATCATCGTTTACTTTCCGAGGATAATTTTGCGTCCAGCACCCATGTTGGAGCCAGCCTGGGTCGCGCCCTTGTTGGATCCAGCCTGGAGACCGACAATTGTCTGGCCAGCTCGGAGCTGCTCTTCGGAGAAATCACGTTTGCATTCCTCCGATGGCTTCGGCCCCAGGTAAGGTCCCTTCCACTCGGGGTGGAGGTATGTCTGCAGTTTCCCCCCAAAAAAATATAATTTTTTATTATAGATTCCAAGAACGAAGAATCTGAAGTATTATAATTTAAATGCCATGAGAATTATCTCACTTTCTGTGGATTTATTTCGGTCTCCTTTCGAGAATGTTCAGACATTCTGGATTTTTTACGACATATTAAGGACAGACTATCGAAAATAAAATGTAAAATCATAAAATAATTAAGACCATTTGGGAACAAAATCGGGGATTGATAAAAACGGAAAGTTGAAAATTTTATGACGTACAAAAAGCTCGTTTAATATTTCCTGGTCCAGTCGATAGGTTCCGAGATAAATCCATAATTAAGATTGTTGAAATTTATAAATTGTTTTTTTCGGAGAAATTAATAATTTACGTACCGTGCGGCCGAGGGAGAATAGGGTCGTCACGACCTGTGCAATGTCCTTCTTCTCGAACAAATCGACTGTTTGGAAGACATCGGTATCAGGTACACCGTACGCCTTCATGGCCTTCTGGAACCTAAAAACAATTATCAATATGTAAAAAGGCATTTTTCATATGGCAAATGGACACCCTGGGATAAATTGTCACTCACATATTAATGTTCTCCATCATTTTGAATTGTCCACCGCTGGAGTTGACTTTGGGGACTGATCCTGGGGCGAGTTTGTTCATAACTGCGCAGAGGAGTTGTCCATCGTGGATGACATCCTCGAAGGGCTCACCTGCTGGGAATTTCATCCCAAGAATCGATTCGATCCATTCCTGAGCCTCTTTCTCCTGCTGAGGGTCACGCTTGGCCAGAGTCTGGGAGTTCATATCAAGATTATTATCCATTCAGCCAAAGGACTTTACTCCCATCCAATTAATTTTTAATTTCGAGAACAAGAGATGAATGGGGATAAAATTGAATGCGAAATTTCCAGACCGTTATTCATTCATGACTATCTAAGATTCTCGTGGATTGAAATGAATGAAAGAAATGGACAATATTTTTTATACATAAAAAAAAATAAATAGACCGATAGTAAAATTTGATTATAATATTTTCTTGAATTTGTTTCTTTTAAATCAATTTCTTTCTGAATCCACTGGGTTTTCTGATATTCGCGGAATAATAGGATCTGGTAGATCGATTCGTCTCCTTTTTTTTCCACTTCACTTTAAATCGACCCCTTAAGAACAAACAGTACCTTGGCGCGGACTTGACGTTCAAGAGCCATTTTTAATATTGAAATTGAATTTAACAGTTCCTGGATGCACCGGGATGTCGACTGAAGTGCTGAAACCGTTGAACACTGGCTCTTATACCCTTCGCCCCCAGACAACGATAATCTCAGCCCACGCGAAAATCTCCAACTGGGGAAAAAGAGGATGACCAATTCATTCCCCCCAGAAATTGCTACTGATTTTCTCGTTTCCGATTTTTCGGGAATCTAATATTAGATTATGATTATTGCGTGACATATGCCAATGTCGGGACAGTCTGAGATAGATTTGTCATCGAGTTGTCAGTTCAATGTGACATTCCGATGAACGAAATGGAGAGGAGTTAACACAAGGAATTGTTTGGTTTGAGGTAGTCTTTAATGAAGTGCTGAAGGAAATGAGTCGGAGAATTTCATACAACATTCTGAGAATATGTTTTGGAAATGATCGATTCGGTGACGAAAAATCTCAGACATATGTCAACCTATCTGGAGACCATTTTGCATCCTTTACAGGTAAAATTATAAGCTCGCGAGAAAAGGCGATTGAAGTTTCCCTTTCGAAGTAAAAATGAAGAGACATAAAAGGGACTTTGCGAATAGAAACAGTTCGGTAGGATCGCAGAATATTTTTCATGGGGTATTGAATTTCAAAAATAATCTCATCTTCTGGTACCCCTGGACCACCGGCAAATGGCAAGAAAATAAAAGCATCACGTCGCAGTTTTCAAGGTAAAGCACCTCTTTAAATAATCTCCACGAGGAATATGGGTCAGGTTATAAATGCGTGATCCAGTTGAAAGAACGTTATGCATTCTAGATTCCGAGTAAACAGATACCAGTCGAGATTATTGTTTCATTCTTTAAACTGTCAGGATTTTTGGGCTGGGGATTAATCTAGGATGATGGCCATTGGTTAACTGTCATCTTCGGTTACATTGATCGCGAGGGGTTGAATTATTCCCCAATTGAATTTGTAAATACTTGGCTTCTGAGTCGACGTTAAATATATCCAGGCATCTGCGTCTTCGTGTGAGGAACCAGCTGTTTGCATTAACAAAAAACTAAATTCTTGTGGGAAGTGGGGTAACGTAACAAGTCGATTTTTCACATTTTCTTGAATAGTAAATTCGAATAGAATAGAAAACTACAAACAGCTCCTTAAAAATTCTCTGAATCAAGATCTAAATTCTTGAATTCATCGAAGTTCAAAACAATATTTGGGATGAAAAAAAAATAAGTCCAGTCAAAAATAATGAATTTCTAATTTATAGACTTCAAGTAATTAAATGTATTATAAATTCGTGTAACAACTCGACCCTGGGTCGAAAAAAAAATTAGTCACTTTGTATATACAAAACATAGATATAAATTCATCTACTACAATAAAAAATAAACCATGATTTCCTTCTTTAAATTTTCACATTAAATTTATAAACCTCGAATAATTGAATTGGATAATCCATCAGCATTGGATTTAACATCTAAATAAATTTATAAATCTTCAACTGGAAGCATCAAAAGTACCGTGATTTGTATTATCAGTATTGCTTTTTCTCATCGGGACTAGTTGCAGTGTATTGCCGATTTTTACGGCTTTGAATGTATCACCAGGTGACACAACTGGCGCTTGAATCCTCGTAAGTATCGCAAAGCTGGAGTTATTATTGGACGAATTCTCCAGGACGACTGGTGTAACAGGGGCAAGGGAGAGTTTGATATCACTTCGTTTGATTGGTATCAGTTTCTTGGGGTCGAAATTCGAGAGATTTATCACTTTTGGCTTTGAGATATTCTCGGACGTCGTCGTCGGCTTGATAGTCCTGAATTTTTGTACACTAGTCACCGGGAGTAATTTTATTATACTCTTGGGTGTTGTATTTTGTATGAGAATCTTCGACTCGGCCCTCTTAATTATTGCTGGCAAAACTCTTTTCGTTATTGCCTGGAATTTGGAAGTCGAGGGCGTGGACTTCTGGGGAATCGTCTCCACTTTAGATTCGACGACGTTCTCCTTGCTAACGATTATCAGCGGGACATTCGTCATTTGTAATTGTTGATTCACCACTGGTAATGTCCCGGGACCTTGAAATTGTTGGAGTATTACGGAAGTCGGTGCAGTGGAAATGCATGAGTCAGAGTTGTATCTTGGGAATAGTTTGGTGCAGACTTTTGGCTTGCTCTCCTCACTGGAGTTCAATCTCTCGAGCTCCATCTCCGCCACGCGCAGAATCGAATCGTCTAGGCGCTCCAGGGAGCGACTCTTCGTTTCGAAATTTGGAGTGCTCTGAGTGCGGCAGAACGGAGAGTCTGAGAAGTTAAAAATAAGAGGATTATGTCGATGAGGTTTGAGTTGATTTTTTAGAATTCAGGGGGAGTTGAGGAGATGGAAGATTTCGGTAAAAACGTTCCACTTCCGAAGTACTGGATTTGAAGATTATTTTGGGAACATTTTCACACGTTTAATATTATCGCCTTTATTCCAGTCCCTAGATCTCGAACCTTTAAGGCCTTAAAATAGAAGTTTTATTTCCACAATTTTGAGTTCGTCTTTGGGTACCAAAACAAAATATTTGAAACCTTGAATTTGAACAACTAAAATGGATTCACTCGAACGAGAAGATGTTCTGTTTACTTTAATCGATAGAATAGATAGAGATAGAAGGTTGCAATATCTACCTGTGTCAAACAGTTTTCGTTTACGAGGTTTACGTTTGTCCGTGATTGGAGTCTTGTCCGTGTCATTGATAAATGTTTTGCATCGAGTGTTGCTCAAAGTGTTGAGACTCAGTCCTTGCAGAGGTGCACTGCCTCCTGATTTATTTGGGGTTGACATACCAATCGGTGGATGGTGGTGAATCTCTCTTGTTGGAGTTTCTACATGACAACCCGTAACGGTAAATTATGGACTGGCACTCACATTAAATTATACTTATTATGTAAATCATTATACTTGGCAATTTACCTGTGTCAGTGTCTACAACCCCGACATCAGGGCCCACGTACTTAAATACAGGTTTTCTGATGGTCCTCTCATCCATGTGTACTTTTTTAATCAGTCCAATAGCAGTCAGAACATTGGCAATGTCATACAAACGACGTACTTTAGTCTTAAAACGAGATCTCGATGCATTGTCAGTTATTTCAGGCGTTTGATCGTCCACGTCGCCAATTAAAACTTTTGCAGCGATGTCAAGATTGATTACACCATTCTAGGAATTTGAACAAAAGGATAAATTGATTTCACATATATATATATATCGTCCTATGGAGGATAATAAACCCCACGGAGATGAATAAAATATGAAAACAAACAATTTATCAGTGAATTGAAAAATAGAAAAATACCCTCATAGAAATGAGAAACAGCATAACAAATTTCTGACACATGGCCCCCAGACTCTTGTCCTCTTTGATAGCAGTGTACCCAAGGCTCTCCTCCTCAGAGATCTCCTCGAATGACATTGTTAAATCCGAGGTCCCAGGTGATTCATCCACCTGATCACCAGTATAAGCCTTATTAATTCTCTGTATCTCCTGTATCTGCTCTTTCATACCGATGCTTATTGCAATGGATTTCAGCCTTGTTAAGGTCCCAACTAGAGCACTCTGACCATGCCACAGATAGCGATTTTTGCCAGCCTTTGCCGCCATTTCCAGACTCTCCAGGACATTTATTATATCGTAAATCCTGCGTTTTTCTGTGCCCAACGCTCGGGCAGTTCCATCCAGAGATATTTCTTGTGGAGCTCCAGACTCCACGTTCAATGGATACATATTCAAAAATCTGAAAAGCCCATAAAGTGTCTATTGATTTTAAGAGCAAATGTGAAGAGATTTTTTTGTCTGAAATTTAATCATGTAGGAGAGACTCCCTCAACGTTTTCATCTTAAGTCTAAAGTTTTTGAAAAAATTCATAATTAAGAGAAATGTTAAATTCCAGTAGTCTGATTTTATCACTTGTTTTTTTTTGGCTATTCTGATGCTTTACTCACTTATTGCATAATAATCCCAGTGATTTCTGCTTTCTCGGAAGGAGTTTGTTTCCAGAGCCCGAGGGAATGGGTGAATCCCTCTGAGATCCACTCTGTGGATTGACCTCCCCCGCACTTTTGAGGTTCGAAGCGAGTGAAGTTAAAAGTCTCAAATTAGCAGTTGGTGATATTGGTTCTTTAACATTACTCAGTTCCCCAAGGACTTTGCGTTCAGGTGTGCATCTGCCTTGATCCGACATAATTTGATATTTGATATTATTTTGCACAATGCACCTGAGGTGAATGACTCCCCAGTATAACCAAAATGCACCACTCCCTCAACTCCAGCTATTGGGCGAAAAATTGTGAATTCCACTCGCGTAGATAATCTCGAACGGTTGTTTGTTATGCAAGGATGTCTTAAGTATCAACATCCCGATGTTTTTCACTCAAGAACAACATTATTTTTACGATAATTGTTTGGCTTTTGCAGTTTCCCTTTCGGACATTTCTCCCGCCGCTTCCAACCTCTAAAACTGCTTCGTGGGTGAAGAAAAAACGCGCGAAAACGTTAGCAGAAATGGGCATGTGAATGCGCCCAAAATTTCTGATCTTGAGAAAAAATATGAAAATGTCGAAAAAAATGATAATGAAAAGTTTATCAATACCCCCAAAAAAGAATATATGAATGTAATGAAAAAAATACCATAAACCCGTGGTAAAATTTGATTTGCCAATCATGCGTCCAATCACTTCATTCTCCAAATAGGCGGGAAGTAGACCTTAACTGCTTCCAATTAACCTTGCACCAAGCATAAGTATTTTTTTATTCACGATCAGATCGAGAACAAGAATAATGACGGATACCAACGGGAAAACTGAAGATGGAAATCACGGTGAACACGAGGAGCACCAGTATTTGAAATTGCTTGAAAAGATCATGGCACAAGGAGCAAAAAAGAACGATCGCACAGGGACTGGTACATTTGCACTTTTTGGAACTCAGATGCGATTCAGTCTGAGAGATGGTAAGTACCAATTGATATTCCCTCATAGGCCAATCAATAAATTATTTTAGGTAGGTCATTAATGATCTTATCCAATGATGGCCGTACCCAATGACAGCCACCCAATGATGATTATCACTGAATAATTAGTCGGAATGCTTCTCTGGAGAACCAGAAAATTTTGGAAAGAAGAGTAATCATTAAAGTCCTAGTGAAAACCCAATTGGTCATCTGAAAAATACCGAAATTAAAAAATGAATTAATGAATATTTTTTGGACATAAAGGCATTTTCCCACTGCTGACCACAAAAGACGTCTTTTGGAAGGGAGTAGTCGAGGAACTTCTCTGGTTCATCAGTGGATCCACGAATGCCCAAGACCTGTCGAAGAGGGGAGTTAAAATCTGGGATGCCAATAGTTCTCGTATATATCTCGATGCATATGGCTTTAAGGATCGTGAGGAGGGGGATCTGGGGCCGATCTATGGCTTCCAGTGGAGGCACTCAGGTGCCAAATACACGCATATGCACGCAGACTACACGGGACAAGGTGGGAGATACCAAGAATAAATTGGAAGGATTTGTTTTTTTTTTATTAATTGTTTGGCTGTGGCTAGGCATCGATCAACTCCAGGAGGTGGTGGACAAGCTCAGGAATAACCCTGACGATCGCAGGATCATTATCTGTGCATGGAATCCAGCCGACATCCCCAAAATGGCTCTGCCACCGTGTCATTGCCTCGTGCAGTTCTTCGTAGCCAATGGGGAGCTCTCCTGTCATCTCTATCAACGAAGTGCAGACATGGGCCTCGGAGTGCCTTTCAACATTGCCTCCTACTCATTGTTGACGTACATGCTGGCTCACATATGTAATCTGAAGGCAATTATCAGTGTGCTAATTGAATTTGATAAGAATTGATTTATCTCTGGGATTCATTTAATTTGGATCGTTCATTGATTTACAGCCTGGAGAATTCGTTCACACGATGGGAGACTGTCATGTCTACTCAAATCATGTCGAACCCCTGAAGACACAGTGCCAGAGGACCCCAAGGCCATTTCCAACCCTCAAGATCATCAGGGATGTCAAAGAGATCGATGACTTCGTGGCTTCGGATTTCGAGTTGATTGGATATGATCCTCATCCTAAAATCCCGATGAAAATGGCTGTTTGAGTTGTTTAGTAGTTTATTTCAACTGTGAATTTATACATGCCAATTCAATGAGAATAATTGTTGCCGGATAATTCAGTGGTTATTACTTGAAACGTTATGAGTATTTTTTTTGCAGTATTCCATTATAAAATACTGTCACTATTTGGGATATATCAGTAAGGACAGTTTAGAGGATAACTATCACCATTCTAGGATATCAAATGACAAATCCCTTAGGAATAACTGTTATTTTATTTACCCTAATAAAAATTATATTCTCAATAAACTCATTCGTAAACTCCTATCATCTCACAATAGTCCCGTGTTTACGTTTCCAATTATGTTGACTCTACATCATTCATTGTTTTCTAATTCATTTTAAGACTAACGCGCCATACAGATCAGTTGCACAATCAATAACAGATCTCTGTCTCTAAAAGTAAACATATCATCCACTGACCACGTACAATTGAGACGCTCCATTATCACATTATCCATTTTAAAAATAAGTATTTCATTCGTTCACTAAACTCGGGAATAGGACATAAGTGAAGCTAAAAAAAATTGAGGGGAAAAATAACCGTCATACACATGATTACTCGATTCAAATTCTTCAAAGGAGAATAAAATAACGCAGATATTTGTTACTTCGATAAAATATCAATATTCATATCAATGAATATTTTTTTTTTCCAATTAATATGTTTCTGGTCTAACCATATAATGTAGATCAATTTAATTCAAATTCGAAGCCACAAAAAACTTTGGAAATCAGTGAAATTCATTGAAGTTTACTCTCTCCATTTCTGCTTGTAAAGAAAGGAAGAATTGCCGATTTATTTATCTAAAAAAATGAAAAACATCCAATTTCCTTCATCTCTCCTCTGCAATTACCAAGAACCGTAAAACGTTGTTTTGCGGTAAAATATAAGCATTTATGAGCAATAATTAATCCGTTATCATTTCCAACGACTGATTAACCATCAAAATCACTGATTGAATCATCGAATATTATTACAAAATGTGAAACTCCTGTATTTTCACTATTCCTGATTGAAAAAAGTAAAGATCAACTAATTTTTATAGTAATATCGAAGATATCTTAAAAGTTTACTATTTATATAGCAATATTTCCTCGAGGCTGCCATTGAATCTACGTCACACGAGCTCGGGATTGCTTCAATACATAATGAAGAAAAAAATCACGGCCAGGTTAATTTTATCGTCTCATCGTTGGAGCGATTTAATATTGTTAAAGGGCCGCTGGGACAATAAAATTACTTGGCGGACCTGAGCATTCCAACTACATATTTTTTACTGTTCTGTTCTCATTGTCGATAAATGGAACAAGTGCCTTCATTAACGAATTAATCGTAGTACGTTCTCTGAATTTATCCTAAGATTGTTTTATTGTATTTTTTTTATAAAATAGATGTATCTTCTTCAAGGGTTTTGTAGAGAAAAATTTAGGAATATATCGTGGAGTTCGGGGACAAGGGGGGCTAGCACATTTGTACATCATTGGACTGTGAAGTACTTAGCTGATGCAGTTGTTGAGTTACAGCAAGTGTCCCTGCTTCACTTACAGTCACAATCACCCAAATAACATCTGCAAGAACAATATTTTCTAAAATTTTGTTCGAAAAAATAAATTTATATTAAACGACGATGGTAATCAAACAATTCCAAAGAGGAAGATGCAAAATTGAAAGATTTCTCACCTCCAAAATAGGATCCAGAAGCAGTCATCATTCTCCATTTACTCTGAAACGTTCCTAGTTCACTAGGACTCGTTAAGACAACACTCAATTCGGTAGTATCCTTTGGTGCTAATGCTTGCACTTCTACCCTTGTGCAATCCCCCATCACAACACCACCGGTATGCAACAAACAAATGCCCTCTGGCCATGGATCAGTTCCAGAGTTCTGCACTCGCCATGATTTACGAAATTTCGTATTGGGTGATACTGATTCACCCTCGCCAATCGTACTGTCACAAAGAAGTGTCATACAGGGTAATTTGAACGGCGATTCGTAATCGAAGTAACTGCATATAGCTGCTTGAAGGTTCCTGCGAGTAAAATCACAGTAATAAAAACAATAATAGAAAAAATAATAGAAATATTTTGCCCTGAATAAAATTATACTTCTCGCCCCCTCTAATGAGAAGGATATATATATTTTACAATTTTTTTCTGAAAATGTGAATGAACACTTTATTGTCGAGAAATTTCCCTAAAATGTTTAATTTTAAAGGCAACTCAAAAATAATGAAAATCATCAATTAATTAACATGATATCAACGATAAAATGCAAAAGAATGCATTGAAAATTAGACAAAGAGAAATAAGTCTTGATTGCCTGTTCCCTTCAAATCCCTCAAACAAAGAAAGTCCACTGGTTAGAATCTCTGAATAACCAGAGAGCAGACAAAGGGCAGACCAGTGCCTCCCACCAGAGCATAATCATGCAAGCAAATGTTGAAAAATCAAAAATTGATCCACTACCAGGTTATGTCTGGACTCGGCCCTTGACCTGACAAAGGTAATTACCAATTGTTCATATCCAGGAAAAACGTGGCTGTTGCTTCATTGAGCTGACTCCCTGCCAATAATCTCTGCAACTGCTTGACCAGGTCATCCTTATCAGTAGTCCCCATGCAACTGAATTGCTGCAGCAAATGCTGATCGAAGTCATTGTCGACATCCATCGTTGTGATAATAATCACAGATTTGCACCGTCAAAATTCTTTCACGAACAAAAACCAACCCATTCAATGCAGTTCACTATATCATTTTAAAGCACTTCCTTCGGACCAGTGTGATTTGTTTGCGATACTCTGAAGAAATTTCAACGAAAAATTTCAACTGTCATCATCCCGAAGACGTGTGACGTGAGCTCAGATATCGTGTTTTGGGAGTCTTTTCTTTTTTTTTTTCTCAATTTTTTATGACACTGACCATAGACATGTTGTATGTAGACTACCAATTCGGCGCTGAGAAAGTACAGAAACGAGGACGACAGGACCGAGAACCTCTTCTGTCTCTGTCACGCAATCATTGGAGATTTGGAATGGACAAAGCAACAGAACTTTAAACAGGAATTAAAAAATTATAACAGTGACAGTCCTATCGTGGCAGTCCCTCCAACAGCTGATGCGGACACTGAACAGCACTTTTTCACGAGTACTTTTGAAAATATTTTAAAGTTCCATTCAAAATCCATTTTTGAATGGAATATGAATTCCCATAAAATTCATTGTACGCAGCTGCGCACGCAGCCAGCTGCGATTGCGCACTGTGCTGCAGTGAGTAAAAAACTTCTTGGTAACGTAATATATCTTTTTTAACCGTGAGCTTGCTGCTCCTTTAATTTCTGCTCTACCATTTCTGGATTTTGGAGCTAGGGTGGACTGTCCTCCATCCGTTTTGCCAGGGAGACACCCCAGGATTGCGTGTGGCTCCCTCCCTCTTTTGAGATGCAGTACTACGATGTCGCTGGGGTCACTCAAACCCCCAGAAATGAGTCTCTACTTTAGTCAATCCTCTTTGCGTTTTGCCGGGACGAAGTGTTTCTGGTTGGTCAGTGGTTCAGACCACTGAGTGTGAATCAAGTCTCCGCGATATCAACATCAGAAGTGCCCGGGAAATTGCTGCACATCTCCATTGAAACAAATTTAACAATTCATTACGGAAGTCACTAGTGTGGAGTGTATTTGCGGTGGCCACTGGTGATCACTCCAATTGACGTTTGCTAGTGTCCTTGGTGGCATTTGACGGCACGTTACCAGCCACAACTAGTGAATATTCAAACGGTGAATTGCTAGATTCATTTTATTTTCGGAATTGATTGATCGAGGAGAGTCTGGACTATGGCGGGTTTCAGAGGATTTGCTGGATTAAAAGGGGTACTCAGGGGGCTCGATAGAAATCGCGCGAGACAAAATTTATCCAGGACTTTTTACACGTACGTCAATGAACCTGCAATGCCCATTCCTGACAGGGAGCCCTGCTGGGTCAAGACTTCCGAGGAGGCTGTAGAACGGGCGGGACTCGCATCCAGTGAGAAATATTTTTTTTACTCTTGAATTCATGCTTTGTAATCAGAATTTTTTCCCTTCCCCTATTTACGATGGAAGTGTCATGAAAGGCGATCAAATGACATTTGCAAAATTGTCTGTAAAATTGTATGTGTATGGATATGTAAAGCTCATATGTTCAGGGCTATCTCCATAACTCCACAATTATTGAACCGAATTTTAGAGTTATGGCAGCTAATTGATAGGGTTGCTAGCCAAATTAATGCCCAATTTCAGTCCGATCATTTGACCCGTTTCTGAGATGAAATAACGTTTTTTGCGAATATCTCTTTAATCGTGTAATTGATTCCTTTTTGTTTTACGGTCGTCATGATGATATTTAATTAGATCCAAAATACACCATTTCATCTCGATCAATTTAGCTAAATTATTGTTTTTAAATTTATTATTAGAGAAAAATATTGATATGTAGGGAAATAGAATAATTTGGAAACAAATCAATACCTGGAAAAAAATTATTTATATGTTTATTCGAAGTATTTAACGCTTTCATTCTCGTTGACGATGGTTAGATAAATAATTAAATAATGCCAGAGTCTGCAGTTTGCCCAATGCAAATCGCAGAGATGATTAATTCAATAAGATTAGACGTGCGATAATAATCTGTGTGATTAAAAATCCATAAAAAGATGAATGTATGATTTTATAATACACCCATCTTTACCCATCTTTATTCCAATCCGAAAGTCCTTGGGACATGGGTTGAGTAAACATTTCGCAGACGACTCCTCGTAGTTCCAGTGGTCTTTGATCAATGATTGCGTACCAGTCTATGAATTATCAACGAGTCTACAATTACCTGCTCCTCTAAACTCGCATCTTATCTCATTGACGTGGCAGAACAGACGGAGTGTAGAATAAATTTTGGTCAGTCGCGATAACAGTTATTCTGTAAATCCACAGGAATCATTATTGGAATTCTTTACAGGGAAATAAATTCCCAACAAAAAAAGTTTCGATATTTTTTAATTAAATTAATGAACTTTTTTATATCCGCCGATATGTAAATTTACAAAATAGGAAAATCGAACTTGTCACTTCACGGAAACACGGAATGAATTGCAAAATTATTGAATAGATGAATGAAATTCGAGGAATTCTCGGAGATGAGAATGGTATTCACTGGTATCACCTCATACCCAGGATCGTTGAAGGTTCACCGAGTGGCCATCATCAGGTGTTTGTCATTCTATTTAAAGCACAGTTGGGCTTGGCACCACTATTCAGGCCTCGGCAAGGTGACTGGGTCGGAGTCATGCACTTATAGGGTTTAGAAATGGATTGGTTCAAGGCTCGGACTACCTCAACATTTCGTCCATCAGTTAATTAGTCTGTCAGAACGATTAATCACCTAGCAACCGTAATTAATAATTCCTTCGAAATCGTACACTCAATTTTACAATTGCGTAGTAAGTCCACTTATCTTGTCCGTACATTTTTAGAAATATCTGTAAAATTCGAAGAGATACCGCAATTTTTATTAACATTTTTTTCGTAGAGGTACTTGTGGACTGCAATAAAGTTCATTACAAAAATTCCACTATCTCCCTCAGTTCGTGAGATATTCCCGATATTGAAATGGAACCCTCTTACGACTAATAATTTATATTTTTTATCGTGCATTTGGATTGTTCAGTGTCGATGACGTCAGCTTGGAAATCTGCGTAATAATATCAGATGGTTGGAGATATATACTTGGGATCACTCGGCCTTGAGAGGCTCCTCTCGATAAATTCTCAATGTATTTTCGCTTATCTCAGGGATAAAATAAACGTAAACGGAGCGGTACGTTATTTTATTGGGATTGCACTGATACTCCGAGTAATTAACTTGGGTAATTGATTGTTCTCCTTGGTACACTAAATAATGACAAATTTTAATGATTAAATTATATCATAATTGGGCTGGGTTCATTGGCAGGAGTGCATTGGATTTTTTTAATCGTCATTTTACGCAGTTGAGTAATAGTATTGAAGTAAGGGGATTGATGGGTTTAATCTGCATGCGCTGGTGTTGTCGTGACTCTCGTATTTTGCGGAAGGAGGGCTTGACCCATCACCTCTAACCCATAGATTAAAGAATTTATATTCTCTTTGTGCTATTACATTATTTACAAATAGATTCGGATGAGGGAAACCAATACCAGAAGCAATTGATATGTTTTGGATAAGGGAGTGAGCGATGATTTGAGGTCACAAGGACAAGGCTACTTCCTCTCATTGATTGTTCTGCTCTGAATGCAAACACATTTTGATGGATATCGTTCTCCACTTGTCCTCCGTTTTCTATTTACGATTGTTCATCATTGTTCTGACTGCAGGGTTTCTGGGGGACTGTGATATTTTTCTATTTTTATTTCTCAATGATTAATGCAAAGGCCATTGGACTTTTATATTCGACTTTCAGTTGCTGTAGAATTATTAGCTTTTTTTTATTGAAAATTTCACAAATATTTTTTCTGTCGAGCAATCAGCACAAGTTAATTTTAATTAGTCGTTAGATTTCAATGCAAATCTGGAAATGTATGGGAGAGCTCAAGATTCTCTCAGTAAAAAGTATGTTTTACTGAGAGCTATGAAAAAGATGATTACCAAAAATTTCACTATGTCTATTAGATTTGAAGATATTTTCGCGAAATTCATTGAAAGACTGAATTGAAGTGAATTATTGAATTAAATTTTATTTGTACTGATTTTGAAGCGCGAAGCATTAAATGTCTTTTTTGCTGTGTTTGCAGATCAGTTAGTATTTATTCAGGGGGCAGCTGCAACTCCCGTTGAACTTTCCCGGGGTCTGACGGAATATGGTATCAAATCAGATGTACGGAATGTTCGACTTAGTCACATGCATCTGGAAGGACCTGCACCATTTGCGAATAAGGAAAACGCAAGTGAGATTTTTATTAATAGGTATCCGAGTTTATGAAGTCCACGTGTAAGATAAATCAATGACCAAACGGTTTAAAGAATTCGAAATATCGATGTTTAACTTGCTAATCTAGCTTGTGTTATCAATGTAAATTTGTGTTGTATCAATGATGAGCTTAATTGACAATATCAGTGGGCTTTTATCGATTTTTATTCACGATAATCCACTATCCAGAGTCCGAACGTCAGAACTACAAGGCGAATTAACATGAAACAACCAATTTTTTGCAGTATGTTTACTACTTAAAGTTATAAAATTATTTTATCATGAATGAGTAAAGGGCAATCTATTTTTGAATTTTCTTCCTCGCGGAAATAAATTCGCAATGACCAACGATTAACATGATAATTCATACTCCTCAATATTGACATATACTCATGTTTAATTAATACTAATATGTCATACCAATAATTATTGACATTTATGCAATGAATTCACAGAACACTTCACGTCTGTCAGCTTCTTTATTGGTGGAAATGTGAGAGGGGCAGTGAACGAGGGCCACGCAGATGCGATCCCGATATTCCTCCATGAAATTCCAAAGATTTTCGATCGTGATTACATGAAACCAGATATTTGCCTCATCCACGTAACTCCCCCAGACAGCAAAGGCTACTGTTCACTAGGTACCAGCGTGGATTGCGTTCGATCTGCACTGGTCAAGTCGAAGAAAATTATTGGTGAGCCACTCCTTTCGAATGAACTTTTCAGCAAAAAGCTGAAGGATAACAAGATGAGGAACTATTCATGCAGTTTTTTCCAGAATACAACATATAATTATCCGCTTGTTATTTTTCTTTTTGGTATGCAGCTCAAGTGAACGAGCACATGCCCCGAACATTTGGGGATGCGATAATCCATAAGAGTCACATCGACTTTGCCGTCGAGCACAATACGCCCCTTCCAGCACACCCTGTCAAGGCTCCAACCGACAAGGAGCAGGCAATTGGCAAGTACATCGCGGAAAATCTTGTTGACAATGGAGCAACACTACAATTAGGCATTGGTAGTATTCCGGATGCAGTATTAGCGCAATTGAAGTGTCACAAAAACCTGGGGGTTCATAGTGAGATGTTCAGCGATGGAGTCGTTGATCTTGTTAACTTGGGGTGTATCACTAATAACGAGAAGAGCATGCACCGGGGGAGGATTGTTGGATCATTCTGTGTTGGCTCACAGAAATTGTATGATTTCATGCACAATAATCCATTCATTGGTGAGTATTCATTAGGAATTCGGTCAACAGCGAAGTAGTAAAGTGAATCAAATAAAATTTACCGTTCTACTACAGCAATCTTGGTCAGTTATTCAATAAAAATGTGATGTCCTTATGCAATGAAAACAATTGTCTTTAGAAATGCTGGCGGTCGATTACGTAAACGACCCGCGGATAATCGCCAAGCAGCCGAAAATGACGTGCATAAACTCGTGCATTGAGGTGGACTTAACTGGACAGATTTGCTCAGACAGTATTGGAACGAGGATGTACTCTGGCTTCGGTGGGCAAGTGGACTTTCTGACAGGCGCAGCGATGAGTGAGGATGCCCTGGGAAAGCCCATCGTCGCCCTGAACTCCACTACAGCCGATGGAAAAACGAGCAAAATCAGTCCAACGCTCAAACTTGGAGCTGGTGTTGTGACGAGCAGAGCCCTCGTGAGGTACGTCGTGACGGAGCACGGAATTGCCAGTCTCTTCGGCAAAACTCTGAGGCAGAGAGCTCATGCTCTCATCCAGGTGGCCCATCCTGATCACCGGGAGACACTCGAAAAAGCTGCCTTCGAACGTCTCAAGAGAATGCCAGAGCCTTGAACATATTCTCGAATCGACTAGAGTGTAATTTAGGGCTCTATTCTTGCCTTAACATCAGGCATTTCCACTTTTTTTTCTTTTAATCTCTGTGAGCACTTGTTCCGCATCTCAAGAGGACGAGAACTAGAAAGAACAATTGATTTGCCATTTTTTTCTAGCAAGAGATACTATAGGCCTGTGAATCTGTAATCTGAGGAGACTGCAGAGAAATTAAATTTTGGAAAAAAAGATAATAAAATCGGAGTCATTGTTCAATAATACTATCAGATCAGTTCTTTGTAATGAGTGTTCAATTAATTACAGAATGATGAAAATTTTGTAACTTGCATGAATTTTTAATTGAAGATGAATAATCACTGCCAAATTCTTGTAACTTATTTGAAAACTTAAGGGAGTTTGGATTTTTTTTAAATCCACACTCTTAATTCAATTGACAGATATTTTTATTTTGCCGGATATTTCAGTGAAAAATTATTGACGGTGCGGGTTTAATTCGCTTCAGTCTCCACGATTAATATAAAAATGCTGTAAAAATTCAAGATAAGGTACAAAATAATAAAAGATGATGTTCTTAGAGTTTAAGTGGAAGTAATAAAACAACATTGTTTTTATATCATGCTTGCTGTCAATTTTGTATGACATTCAGATGAGTATTTTATTTTTTCATTTTTCCCGAGGAACTTGAGTTAATAAAGTCAGAGTAATTGAAACAAGTACCTGTCGAGTGTTGTTAATCAATGAAACAGCAAATTTCAGGGGTCATGATGACAGTTTTGTTATGGTATTATGAATCGACAAAATTTACGTGAGTTCTATGAGAGCATAAATAAAGAATTAGAGTGGTTTATACTTTCGGATTACAATCAGCATGCTTTCCAAATTGAGCAAAACTGTCAGGGGAGTTTTAAGGGGGAAATCGTGGGCTTTAGGAGGTGTCAGAGGGTTCAGGGAACTCTCGTTGCCGCTCAGGAGATGTCCACGATGGGTTTGCGTGGAGGATGCTGTGAAAATAGTGAATTCAGGTGAATTGCGCGCTGAAAGATGGACTTAAAAATTCAATCCATGCTTTCAGCCAACTCATGATAAATGGAAATTATTTTGATTTAATGGAAATTATTTTGATGTTATTTTAAAATCTTCTAGAACACCTGGTGTTCATTCAAAGTGGAGCAGCCACTCCCTTGGAGTTGGTTCGAGCCCTCACAGAGCACGGGGTGTGCAATAATCTCAGAGGAGTTCGACTCCTTCACATGGCGCTCGAAGGCGACGCTCCATTCGGCAATCCTGAATTTGAGAGTATGACAATTTCAAATTAATCTTAACGATCTGTCAAATGATTCGTTCATATAGAAATTCCGAATTAGAACACTTCAGATCCATCAGTTTCTACATCGGCTCCAACGTGAGAGACGCTGTGAATGATGGCAGAGCTGATTACATTCCAGTTTTCAATCATGAAATTCCCAAGTTGTTCTACGAAGGAATTATTTCACCTGACATTGCATTTATTCACGTCAGCCCCCCGGATCTCCGAGGATTCTGCTCCATGGGGACAAGTGTGGACTGCACAAGGGCCGCCCTGTGTACAGCAAAAATCATCGTTGGTAAATCCTCCTCAAGACGTTTAAGAAATACAATAAATATTTACATTAATTTTCTTCCGACAATATCATGTGTCAAAAAAATAAATCGCTACAAGAATTGTTCGTCCGTCATGGAGCTGTGTATTTTCCCCAACGGGGAAATAATTATAGTAAAATTTTTCTAGCCCAAGTGAATGATCACATGCCGAGATCCTTCGGCGAGGCCGTGATCCACTCTAGCCACCTAGACTACGCTGTTAAATTCGATTGTCCTCTACCATGTATTAGTGGAACTCCTCCAAACGAATTGGAAATGGAAATCGGGAAGATTGTGGCCCAGAGGCTCGTCGAGGACGGTGCAACAGTTCAATTAGGCCTCGGCAACATCCCCGACGCGATTCTCTGTGCTATGAGTAATCACAAGGACATCGGTGTACACACGGAACTCCTGAACGAAGGTGCCACAATATGCCGGTAAATCAATTCGATAAATTGCTTCATGATTTTAATGTCGAAGGCATGGTGGATCTCGTGCAGAAAGGGGTGATCACCAACAAGTTTAAGAACAAACACCGCGGGAAGTCCGTCGCTTCTTTAGGAATCGGAACGAAAAAACTTTACGATTACATTCATAATAATCCTGCTCTTGGTAATGAAAAAAAAAATCACATATAAAAAAATCGAAATCTGTAATCAATCCGCTGTTATTTTGAGTAGAAATGTTGGGAATAGACTACACCAACAATCCTAAAATAATCTCGGAGCAACCAAAAATGACAGCAATCAACTCCTGCATAGAAATGGATATAACTGGACAGATCTGTTCTGACAGTTTGGGATACAAAATGTACTGTGGAGTGGGCGGACAATTGGATTTCCTCCGAGGATCTTCCGTAGGTGCTGATGGCAGAGGAAAATCCATCGTTGCATTCCCATCGGTTACGAGCTGTGGGGACAGCAAAATTCAGCCTGCACTTAAATGTGGTGAGCTCTCATCGTTATGTATTTTTTTTTTCATTTCGATTCGACGCATTCAATCGTTTCAGGAGGTGGAGTGACGTCTACTAGAGCTCATGCACATTACGTAGTGACGGAACATGGTGTTGCCCAATTATTTGGCAAGACCCTGAGGCAAAGGGCTTGTGCACTCATCCAGATTGCTCATCCGGATCACAGGGAGTGCCTAGAGAGAGCTGCATATGATAGACTCAAGTGCATGCCCACGAAATATCTTTAGAAAATATTATACGGCTAGTCATTGAAGAACAGAGCTCGAGATTTTTACTTTGAAAAAATATTCCTGAATTTATTGCTGAAGTATTGTTCTGTCTCCAAAGATGTGAGTATTAAAACAAAAAAAAATTGTTCATTGATCTATTCCAATAAATCAATAATAATAATACATATATATATGTTGTCAATATACAGCGCGCATGATTGCTTAGTGCTGTCATAACACACATGAAACAGGCAATAAGAAGTGGCGAACATATTTATTACTACTCGGACAAAATAAATTATTCATCTCATTGACGTACAATCACAAAAAAATTAAAATACACTGTACTCATTTCTCTTCACGAAATTAACTTAAATTAACGATTAAAATACACTGAACATTGCAAAATTAAGAAATGCCTTAACATATTGATTTTCACTGAAACAAAATAAATTACTTACTCCATTGTTCTAAGATCACAAAAAATTAAAAATTGATGCCGTCAGGTAATGTTCCTTTTTCTCGTCGCCTTTCTACATTCTCAAAGTACTCGGTAAAATCCACGTAAGGCTTTATTCTTGCATTTCTGTCTGTCGGTTTTGCTTCAGGTGGGTATATCTCGGATGTACTAGAAGTCTCATTGCTGGAAGGATCGAAATTATCAGTGCTCGCCACTGTACTGATACTGGAGTAATTCTCCTGGACACTAGCAACAGTCGTTTGCACTATCGGATTGAAACGCACTTGTCCAATGGTCGGACTCTTGAGGGCATGGGGCAGTGGAAAATTGAAATTTCGTACTAGAAGTGTTATGTCCTCGCGTTTACCGCTCGTTTGATTGCTTTCGGGATTGCTCATGTTTACGTCGTGATGAATTCTCACTATTTTATCAACCACTGCTTGCGATACACCAGTGAGAGTTGACTGAATGCGAAACTGTAAAAATGAGAATTCAGAGGTATTTTCAGTTGGATCGATTAAATTGTAAACGGTTCAATTAAGCTCACCTGCTCTACAGCCATGAGGGCCAACTCTTTATTGACTTGATCAGTAGCAGTAGCTTCTTCCAATGACTTGTAGAGCCCTCGAGACATTAACAGGAGAAACCTACAGGACTCATCGAGTTCAATTCCTCCATGAATTTCTGGTTCAGCTATTATGGGTTCTGCAATGGCTGGTGCTAGCTCATCGAACTCTCTATATCCACCTTTCACCAGCCAATTGCCCAGACAACGAGTGTTCTCCTGATTTCCCAAGTGAGAACCTTAAATACAAGGAACAGAGTAGAAAGATCACCTCCTTTAATAAATCCAGTCGTGAATGACATTTTATAGTAAAAATTGCAATAGTGAAAATGATTTAAGACGTCACATCATCTGTCGCCTGCCATGATAGAAATACCTTGTCTGATTGATTTAACGTCAAGGCCCAACTGCGATAATCGCAACAGCTCATCCTCGTTCCTGGAATCGTGGTCAATGGATAGCTGAACGACCCTTAACACTTGATTACTATCAGTTTTACATAAAAGTGCTCGACTATCTCCAACATTGGCGACGTAAAGCCGATTTCTGTACACTAGAGCTACAACAGCACTTGTCCCTGCTGAGAGCTCGCCATTCAGTTCATTCAACTTGTCAACAACTTCAGGAAATTTTTGATATGCTTCGTAAGAGTTCAGACCATCTGGTATATCAAATTGGAGGCTAGTGCGTTCGGCAAGGACTTCTCCTATCGAGTCGAAGTAGCCACGCTCGACTGCTATGAAAGCTTGTCTGTAATTCATTCAATAAGAGTCATTTCAATTGAGAGAAAATTATTTGTCCTCACTAAGAAAAAAATATTGTGTAAAAAAAGGATATATAACAATTCAAATTATTTTATTGCTCCTGATGAATTGAATTTGTATTTTTGAATAGAACGAGAGGAAAAATAATTTATAATTGATTGACCTGAGAACTTCTTTGACTTCCTCATCAGTAGTTTTTCCATTTAACTGTCCCAGCAATATCTCAGCTGCCATTCTCTGAAGTGTGAAATTAGCAGCCCTCGTTCCCTCGTGGCCGTCGAAAATTCCATACAAAAACGTGCTATCATCGTATTTACAGTGGAAACTCCTATCCTCGAAAGGATGATCCTCTTGTCTGTACCCATCTTCTCGGTATATCTGGTTTGTAGAGAGACCAACGCCTTTTCAGTGGAATAAAAGTGACCAACAATGAAAATACTCCAATATTCTATATTGAGTAAATAAATTAATTCCTGGGATCAAGTTTATTTTTAACACAAGCATTCCTTGAGCCATTTGTGTCCCAAGAATGGGCGGATGTTTTCGATTAATTTAATTGTAAGTATTTATTTCATCTGGATAGTGACAAAATCGAATGTGTTAAACATAAAATTACTGATTCTGGCTAAAATAGAATCGTCAGAGAATCAAAGCGAAGATTGTGACAAGAGTGAAATTGAAATGATCCCTAAATTTTTTTTTTCTCAGTAAAGACTATATGTTATATTTTATTCTTTGGGAAATAAAAGAGGCTCACCAGATTCTTTGCAAACCGGGAGATCCTCGGTCCAACTGTGCTCTGTATCTCCAAAGGGCATTAAACTGGGGATCTCATCCCTCGTGGGCATTTCTCGCTTAAAAAAGCACTTCTAGCGATAATAACTCACTTTTTCAGCTCAAGACCACGAGCATCACGAATATACTCAGCATAGCTCGAAATTTAAATTTAATTTCCAGTTCCACTTGTATATATTTATCTTTGTCCTCGACAATTTTGGAATCGCCAATACATAGATCAACACGGAAACATAACAAACATTGATAACCGACTTCAGGCAGCTGGTGAGGTTTTATCTGTTGCTCACTTCGGGTACAAAAATTTTATCCGAGAGACTGTTCAATCATGTTCACTGGGTAACTATTCGAGCTGTCAGTTTAGTGATTCCATCCACTTGACAAACTCCTGGGATTTTTTTTTATTAAAAAATTGATAAGTTGAAAGAATTTCTTTTGCTGTAAATATTGACTTCTGTAGGTAAGTAATTTTTACAATAATTTTTAATCATGCGATGAATATTTTATTATTTCTCTTTATTTTATTATTATTGGTAATTTGTTGGATAACAAGCTGAGAACAGATGGTTGGATACTGCATCCAGGACATTGGGATTTGGTAGCCTCGAGGCATTTGCATTCCACGTAGGTCAAGCAATATTAATTATCTTTAATTCAATAAAAGTTAGAGGCAATTTGACATTTCTTCGATTTTATTAATATTCAATAGTAGATTTATACAAATTCATTAAATATCGATTTCAAAGTCGCTTTATCTCATTTTATCACTCTGTTAATGAATAAATTCAGTTGAAGTCAGTTCATGCTTATTATCCGTAATTTGTCCTCGTCTTTATCCGTATTTGTGTACATTTGTAATATTTTTTAAATTGGTAAGGAAAATGATAAACATCAAGGAAAAAACGTAATCAATTGTAGAAGGGGAAGATACTATTCACATCCGTCGAAAAAATAATATCTAATCTTTAAAAGTGACGAATTTATTGCATTCAGTTTTAGAGTCAACTCATGAATACGTGACTTTTAGGGATAGACAATGACTTCAGATGAAAAATCTTTATCATCGCCAGGAAAGCCAGCTGATGAGATCAGAATTTGTGGCATCGAGGGGTGAGTGCTAATTTTTAATTCCGTGTTATTTGCTTTTTGATGGTATTTGACCTTGATTTTTAATTCGTAAGATAAGGCGTCGAGAAGTTCTACGTGATTTAAAATACCGCCGAAATTGCAGAGATAGAAAACTGTATTCAGATGAATTAAAAATGTTCTCTTGTCGAAAAATCATTGGCGATTAAAGCGTTATCGGGATTATTATAATGCGATGACGATGACTAATTAACTTACAAAAAAATAAAAATGAAAATAGAAGACATGAAAAATTAGTCAGGGAAGTAAATGAAGTTACTCATCCCCGTATTTTTTTCATAATATTTTCAATTTTCTTTTGAAAGGGGGAGCACACATTCGTTACTGATTGTAATGGATGGCAATGGCAAGCAATTACTGCAGATACCGGGACCCGGTACAAATCATTGGGTAATTCACTCAAATATTTTGATTTTATTTCTCCAAATGATGAAATTGATCAAGAGCAATTCGATCATGGATTTATGTCCTTTTAGGGGATGCCAATAGAGGTGGTTACATCGAGAATTAATGGGATGATAGAGGAATCGAAAACGGCCCTGGGGATTCCGCTATCACAGCCCATGGATTGCGCTGTATGTAGTTTTCAATTGAATAGAGTTCATAGCTTTTAATGTTTATTACTGGTCCAATTACACTCATTTATGCAGGGTTTGTGCTTGAGTGGCTGCGAAGAAGATGAGAGTAATCAGAGACTCGTGGATATGCTTTCGAAAGAATATCCAAATGCGAGTAAAGAGTACTTCATAGGTAGCGATACGGTGGGAAGCCTCAAAACTGGATCGCCCACTGGAGGAATTGTTTTAATAAGTGGAACTGGAAGTAATGCTATCCTCGTTAATTCTGATGGGGGTAGTCACAGTTGTGGGGGCTGGGGACACATGATGGGGGATGAGGGTGGAGGTAATTGTTCTGTATATTACAGTAGAATCCCGTTGTAGTCGCACCACTCCTCAATTTGTATTTCCGCGTATGTCTCCGAACAAAAAAAAAATCGAAAAATAAATCATTTCTCTCGTATTCGAATTTTTTTTCAGCTTTTTGGATTGCTCACAAGGCTGCCAAGTACGTATTTGATGATCTGGATGGCCTTCAGAAAGCTCCACATCCCATTAGCTTTGTTTGGCCGGCTATGAGGGCGTTTTTCCATGTGCCGAACAGAAAAGCAATGCTCCCTCATTTGTATAGTAATTTCAACAAGAGCAAATTCGCTCTCTTTACGAAGGAATTGGCTACTCACTTGAAGACCAGTGATGATCCTCTGTGTTTATCGCTGTTTACATCAGCTGGACAAAATCTCGCGAAGCATGTGAACGCACTGGCTCCAAATGCCCACAACGTGAGATTTTGTTTTAATTTATACTTTCCAAAACTCTGAGGGGGCTATTATCGACTAGTTCGTGTATCTATGCAAAGAGTCATAAATCGAGGACTAGGGTGGGAAATCTTGTATTATGTGTTGCACAATTGTATTAATTAATTCTTTTATGATTGAAAGGATTTAAAGTTTGGAGGAGGTGGCATTAAAGTTATCTGCGTGGGTTCAGTCTGGAAATCCTGGGAATACATGAAAAAAGGTTTCCACGACGAAATTCAAGAGGCAAAACTTGTCGACGAACTGACTCTGACGAAATTAACAGTGCCTTCTGCCATTGGCGCCTGCTATGCTGCTGCTGAGAAAATTAAATGCGATACCTTGGAAAAGCTCTACGACCAACACACAGAGGCTTTTTTCCACTATAAACGTGAAAATATTCCAACTGGTACCGTGTGAGCTTATGATGCTGCTTCAATTATTTCTGACTTGTAGAAATAATGATTGAGACAAAATACCTCGAAGATTCTAAATTGAATTCCTATTTACAATATTTTTATATTCCTCATAAATAAAAGCACTGATATTTTCCAGTTCGTAGAAAATTATTGGGAGAAAAAATTTTTAGAAAAATTGACAGTCAAATGATTTAACCCTTTTATTCGTGATGAAATTATGGGTGTGTTCAGCCCAATCAAGTGGGTATGGGATTGGTTCATTTGGCTAATTCTCAAAATTCTCAATTTTATTGGATATTTGGTTGTTTTAATCATCTCTACTATTTTTTTCTTCGTTGCTGTACCAGTGGTTATTTTCCTGGTTCTCTGGTCCCTTGGAATTATCTGGAATGATGAGGATGGTGACAGGTGAATGATATTGTTGATGATACTGTTATTTTGTCGAAGTTATTGCTTATCACTAAAAATTTGCTATTCATTTTTACCGTACAGTCTTGTGTTTACAAAATTCAGTCAATTCCACGTGCACAATTTTGAAAAGCTGAATTTTTAATTTCTTCAGGTCTGAAGATAGACAGTAAAGGGAACAGCTCCTTTCTAGACACCTTCTTCCTCTGGTCGCCCTATTTTTCAAGATGAAAAAAAACGAGTTTTATTGTCCACTGAGTTATTAAATATAGAGGCATTGCGGGTAAAAAGGATAGATTTGGAAATTTATCTCGAGGCAATTAGTCTCCAAAAAAAAAACGTGAATTATTTCGCCATCACTTCCCTTAGAGAAGTCTAAAAACAAAGTAAACAGGGTCTTCGTTATTTGTAAAAATATATTTACACGAAGTGTATCACAATATCTCGATTTTCCTTTCGTCTGGCACTTTCATACTTCACTCTCAATACGCTAATACAGTACGAAGAATAATCTATCCCACAGATGTAACTCCAGGGGAGACTGGAGTGAAATAAATATTGTCGAAATTTTTTGTTTTTGAATTTTTGAAACATTGAGAAACAATTCGTCATTTCAAAAAGACAATAATTCTCACAATAAAAATAAATGCTCCCAGCCACCTTAATTTTCCTTAATTCGAAAAATAAAATAAAAACTCGCATTTTACCCTGCTCCCCTTTTTTTTCGTGAATAGATCATACTCATCACTGATCGTGCAATTTCTATGCTCTGGCAGCAATGACTCGAACAATGATTACATCTCTAATAACTCAAATCTACTTAGTCTGCTTAAAAACTAGAGAGCACTGAGCATTATGACTTCGATATGGTGTGCATTATACGGCGAGGTAAGAGGTTCAATTCATACTTTATGTTATTTCTACAGCTTCTATAATAAATACTTTTAAATATGCGAACAATGATATATTGATATACTTTTTCATTTGGTAATAATCATCTCTATAATGCCCGCATGATAATTCTTCGCCTTTAGCTTTTTAAATCGAATATCTCGATCAACAGTGGTTCGACACTGGAGGGATTCACATTGAGGTAAACCCCGACGACCTCTTTATTTAGCCTGTGAAGATCTGAAATCTTTCTGATGAGCCTCAGAAACATGGATTTCGATTCACATCCTGGGTAGATGCTCTCTAGGTATCTTCGAAGGAGGTAGTAATAAGAATTCTGGAACATTCATCCAAAATATTTCTTCAATTCCAGATTATTAGAAAAGCGTCAAAATTTATTTACAGAAATGTGTTTTCTAATGATAATCATTGTGTAAAATTACATTGAAATATTTAACCTTACCTGTTCTAATTTAATCACATCATTGTGAACGACTCGAGGCCTATCGGGTGTGAACAAAGCGATTGCACTCAAAATCAGAATAATATTCTCATCCCTCCATTTCGGATCGAAATCCTTAACAAATCTCGCATGCTCTGCATATATATTCCCCTTGGCCTGTTTCAACACATCAGTTTTAATGATGGACTTGCTCTCCTGTGAGTGTGGAATTTTCCAAAGGTCCTTCTCAGGATCGTAAGTGATAGCAGATCTCAGAATAAGCATCTCAGTGCATCCCCCCTTGAGTAATGCCAACTGGTCCTCCTGACACATATTTTTAAATGCATTAATTTTCTTCGCCATTTTTATGAGTCTCTTGATAGCAATAGCAGTTAAATTAATTAGGTCCAGTAGCATTCCAGTGGGTTGTCCAGAATTTTCGTTGATCGTGCACTCCTCCCCCAGGAAATTCGTGAGATCATCATCGAGTGGTGCCAGAAGTGCTTTATTAGCAACAATCAATTCATTTAGTTTCGCCCTCTCGGCATCATTCAACTCCCTGTTACTCTGATTGCTCCCCAAACAGGAGTAAGCAGAGAACTCCAGCTTGATTGCTTCACATAGAATGGATTCAATGGAATTATTACCGATAGAAGTTCTCTCTACGTCCTGCATAACGTCTCTCGTCACATCATCCGTCTCCTTATCGACATCCCTGTCGATGTCTGCACTGGTGGAGCTAGCCTGCTCGATTCCTTCCTCATCCCCAGGATCTTTCGATTCACCAATGAGATTAGTGAGAATGGGATTCTCTCCAGGACTTTGATCTGCCTCTAGCATGTCTCGTATAAGATCATCAGAGACCCCATTGTTCGCTAGACCCTGGATTGATGTCTCTGGAGTCAACTCTCTATCAGCATCCGCAATCAACGCAGCAATTTTGGCATTACTCGCTAATTGCGACAGCAGAGCCTTATCCTGGAATATTTCCATAATCAAGTGGGGACTCTTCATCAGCTTGAAGATAAAACTGGGGTTCTGAAGCTTGTCAATTATCTCGGAAGTGTTGGAGCAGCTTCTCCGCGATGTTTGGCAGTTATTTGGAGCTTCTGAAGATGTGGAGCTCGCGTTGTGGTTGCTCTGGGGGCTGAAGGAGGGCTCTGAAATGAGCTCACTGGGACTCTCGGGGTAATTTTGTAAGTCCTCCTCATGAATTTGAATTTCGTGGGGGGAATCGTAGATGTTGTCTACTGCTAGTGAGGGACTCTTTGGGAATTGCAGATTTGACGCGTGGGGAGACTCCTTCAGCATTTCAAGGGTCTTCGATCCTATGATGTCTCTACTCTCCGGGGATGAGGGACTCGGGACACTAGCAGCTGTCACTGGGCTCAAGCTCTCAATTGTCGAGGAGCCTTTACCGTCCAGGTCAGTGTATTTTCGATCCGACTCCCAGAAATATGTCTCTGCTGAGGCTACTGAAGCTACTGATCCTGCAGTGTCCTCGTAGTTACTCTCCTCAACCTGTTCCCGTTTCATTTTTAGGGGCTTCGACGTGTCTGATGTCGGTCGTTTCTTCGCTCGGTTTTGTTCTATTTTTTTACGTTTCAGCTCCTTGTCATGCTCTGTCATGATGTACTCCTTTCTCATGCCCACATTGAAGCACTTGTCCAGACGACATTTCTGACAGAATCGACGAGTCACTGGCGTCACTTTACAATTCTCCGTGAAAGGACATCTGAAATCCTGAGAACAATTGCGCAGGGCTTAGACCTCATGTCTAATTGGATGAAGCAGTAATAGAGATATTCTTACGAGAATAAATGTCAGCAGTTTTATTTTGTGAGAAAATGTTTTCAATGATGCTGAAATCTGAATGGACTAGGTTTATCAACTGATACCTATCATCAAGTAGTGATAACAGGAGGACGCGAAGATGAAAGTACGAGCATTATGAAGCCTGGTCAACGAGTGATATTAATAACCCCTACTCTAATCATTGACTATAAGAATTTAATTTTCAAACAGATACAGATAAGGATCATTCATGGGTGACAGCCGATTGTATCATCGAACAGGTAACAGGTGATCAGCTGCAAGTATTGTTAACAATAAACAGAGAGGGGAAAGATGTTGGATTATGATAGAGATATAATAATTGGAATAATTAGTAACCTTATTCTTGAGTGCATTTCTCCGGAAGAATGCTTTGCAGCTCTCGCAGGAGATTGCATTAAAATTATAGCCAAGGGCCCGATCCCCGCAAACAGCGCAGATCTTGTGAGCTCCCCTCGTTGGTGTTTCATCTTCCATGTCGTTCTTCCGGAAATAATGAGACCCCTGTCACTTGTATTTCACATTATCTAGACCGATGGTAGTCATCTCCACTCGATGGCTAATGTCATACTGTCATTTTTCACAGTTGTTCGCAAATTTCGTTGTACTCTCAAGAGTCATCGACATTCAGCACTACTTCACTACGTGTTGACTCATTTGGGGTTTTGTCTCACTTTTCAATAGGTTTAACAGCCTCAAGCAATCGTCGTAACTGACGAGATAAAACGCTCAATTGACGAGGCACTTATCAGCACTTAACAAGATTCAAACAGACCTGTTGTGGGACACCTTTTCACGACGATTTTTCATTCGTTTTCTCGTCTTATCTATTTTTCTTTTTTTTAATCAAGTGTCTGTTCGGGTTTGCATTGTTGGTAACCTAGTGATGCAAGGTGTGACACGCTCCCTTGAATCGCGGGCACATAAGAGCTGTTGCGTCGCGTTTACTGCGCATAACGATTGGCGGTTCTCTTGAATTTAGGAAATTACCATCATGCGATGCGTCATCAATTTGACGTACATGCATGTACCCTGTGTTACCAGCATTATCAGCAAGTGGGAATTACGAGTATGTTACACGGATTATCCGCATTTAAATTTTAACATCGGTCTTATGGTTGTTCAAGACATGTACCTGAAAATCGGCCGATTCCATAATTTATCGAAACCCTAGACAGAAAAGAAATTGGTAGCGAAAAATGGTAAGTCAGTATATGTAATATTTATACTAGTACCAATAATTACAGCCTTAAAGAATCGTTTTTATAATTAAACACTATTCAATTAGAGTTACTCATGAGAAACAAATGTTTCCATGTAAGTCCATAATTGAGGGGTCAATTCGAAAGTCTTACCTAACAAGACTGAAATTATTTACAAGAGATGTTTTTCCGATTGTTGTAATGATCATTTCTTTCCTTTTACCTGGTGCATGGAAAGAATTCTAAATATTACAGAATTTTCACTCGGAAATTGTCGGAAAAATCGCCATTTTTACTGAACCTTATATAAATCTCAGATTTTTCGCAAAAAACTCCTTAACGGCCACTTTCTCTCCGTACATCGAACTTAAAATATTTCCACTTAATATTAATTGACAGTCTTTTTGTTATCAATACATTTTCAATAAAATGAAAAAAAATCTGTACATTAAAATTCAAAGCGATTAAGGCTCACATGGTTTCCTATCCGCGACAATTTTTTCGTCAGTGGTATTATCATTTCCACTAGCAACGTTTACATCCACCTGTAACTTCATTACGTTACGACTTTTTTCGTCATCATTTTTATTGAGTGTGAATCTCCGCAAATCAACTTCTGAAGAAACAGGTATGATTTCCTTTTTTAAATAACTCTTATTATTCGTTTGCAGCTCCCGCTCAGAATTTGATGTAATAATTTCATCCAGGAGTTCCTCATTATTGCAACACTGAGATTGAATACAGAGTTTCCCTCGACATCGAATGAGACAGTCTGTTTTATCCACATTTGACTACAGGTAACCGAAAATTTAAATTAAAGTCAAAAGATTATTTCTCCCATTATCACTCACATTACAATTTTAATTATTACCTTATGGAATTCTGGTTGTATTGTCACTTGCGTTATGCCCATCTCCACAAAAAAAGCAGTTACTTGGTCAGTAATTGTTGCGTAAACCTGAAAGCCAATTATATCATACGGGTCTACCAATAATTTTTATGTAAATGCATTGGTAAAAAAAAAACCCTTTATGCTCTAGTGGAAATCCCCACGATTGAAGAAATCAATAATGAATTCCCTTGACGTTGAATATCCTGAACATACAACATAAAAAAAATCCAAATTTCCTTACCTTGGGATTTAAAAATGTAATATGAACGGTGGAAACGACTTTTGTCCCAGCGAGATGCCAGACATGAAAGTCGTGAACATTAACAATCCCCGGGAATGCAGCGAGCAGCTCTTTTTGTAGAGAGTCAATGTTTATGTGATTTGGAATAGTTTGCAAGAGTATCATACAAGAGTCCCTCACTGGAATAGAATAAACGTGAAAAAGGCACCAATTAAACACAAAATATAGCTATTGTTTTTAACACCCTGGTGAACTGAGTAATTATTATAATGAACTCACGGTAGGGATAGCTGAGCGTGAATAAGAAAACCGCAGAGATGATTGCAATGGCTGGATCGAAATATTTCGAAATATCGTGCTCACTGGCTTTGCCCGGGATGGTAGCACTTTCCTCGTAAGTAAAGTGCACGAGTACAGAAGCAACAACAACGAGAACACATGGAAAAACATCTCGAGATATTTCCATCAATCGTCCACTCTTGGGCATCGCAATAGGACTTCTTCTGGTGGGAGCCAATCTTTGTTCACCATCAGCTACATCTCTGGAATGATTAATCATAGAAATCGATTGATTGATTAATTGATGAATTACGATGTGAAAAATAAAATGTTTTCACGGTTCGATTTGAAGAATCTATTGAAAAATAACGCGTACAATATTTTGCACCCAAAGTATTATGGGGCTGATCCATAGTTAATAATTATTAATGTATTCATACCTTTGAAGAACAACACCTCCGTCCTTAGTGACATGCAGATATAAACTCTGATTAAAGGTATATCCTCCAATGATTAGATAACAAAAAATATTGAGTATAATTCCAGCAATGCCAATTCCCATGACAATCAGAGGCAAATGCATTTGATCGAGATGACCTATATGTCCAAGGGTCAGTACTGCTTCTAAGAGAAGTGTGAAGCAGAATGATGCCAAGAATACACCGCACACCATCATTGTAAGAATATCGATTCTCGCCCAGCCAAAAGTGTTCTTCATTCTATTATCTGGGCTCACCTGCTGCAATTTACAAAAATTATGAATAACTTGCTCAGATCATTGACTAAACCGCTCAGACCAGGAACAGGAAATGTTTTTCTTGAAAATTATTTCTTAAAGCCTCTTGCTTTGACGATAAATCAGCAATGAGATGATCTCTTAAAGTCCATTCAAGGCATCTTCTTAATTCATAATTGAACTGTACCTTTATATCAGTGGGTAATGACTTGGATGATCCCTTTTCTTCGCAAATAGCAACAGTGGAATTACCCTTGGAGTCAGAATTGTCGTCATTCTTGCGTTGCTCCTGACTTCCATACTGTGCAAATGAAATGAATGAATTGATTAAAGTGAAAGTACTGGATCAACCGGTGAACGAAACCCCGAATCGTGAGGCCTTGACTCACTGTTCGAAATGAGTTCATTACCACGAGAATTTACACAACATATCAGTTCACTCACCTTCAATGACACGATGCACCCGAGGAGGGCAACTATATTGCATAGCATGTGGTAGGCATTTAGCAATAGAGTAAGCGAATGTGTTACATGGCTTGCTATTATCTCAACCATGAAAAAAGCTGTGGTGAAGAAGAGCACTAAATATAGTTGTACAGGTTGAAGTCGTCTGAACCACTCTTTAACAGCCATGACACCGGATTGTTTTTTTCTTCAGCTTTTTCCTGAGTGATGACCGATCCTAGCTTATACGTTTATCTAGTCGCTGCTAGTGAAACGACAGAATAAAAACTGCCGTTTTTAACTTGGCCTCTGGTATCACAACCGTTGACCAATCCTCTGTGGCTTCTTCGAGGAACCTGAAATGAGAAGAAAGAATGTGATGTAAAAAGAAGTATAAATGAAAAGATTCAGGGTGGGCCCACGCTCGGTGGATTTACATACGTGGGAGTCATTCATCTTTCTGAAAATCTTTTTTTGGATTGTAATGGAATAGGCGATGGCACTACACGTGGCCTATCACTTCATTAATTTACGATGTTTTATTCATATCATGTGAATTTCAGTACGAAGCGAATTTTATCTAATCAAGTAGATTTCTATTTAATAGAAAATACGATAAATAATAACTCTTTTCAATTGTTAGTCTCCTCGGATTGAAAAATTATTTTTTTTCATTTCTCAACTAAATTATCTAATACTATCGCTATATTTATAATTCACAATTTCACTGTTAATTATCATAAAAATTGACCAATTCACGTAGCGGAAGTCAAACGCGGATTTAATTGAATTCATTAGATTTTCATTTATGTATAGTGATTTTTTTCTTTATAATTATGGTAGAGATAGAATTGAGTTGAATAAATTACCTTATGGAGATCCTGGACATGGAACATTAGAATTCAATAGATTACACAACTGATTAATAGACGCATGTCCGTTGAATGCATTCGTCACTTACAATTGTAAATGAGTACTGAAATAATAGAGAGGAGTAATACCGTATGTGCGTCCAGTTGTCAACTGCCGAACTCGATTACTGGAGTTATTCTTACGATTTGTTGCGGGGTCTCGTAAGATAGCAACATAGTTGTAAGGTCAATTACCGAAGTAAAAGATAAATTGTATGTTGACCCTATGAGTAACGAAATACGACTACACGTCGGAGATTTACACTGAGTCAGAGGTGCATCAGAGAAAATTTCCACAAAGAAAATTCCAAATTATCGGACTGGCTTTGAATTGAAAAGACAGCAATGAATATGGTATTTTCCTTTCAACTATCAACATTTTATTCGATAATGAATTATCTATTCTTATCTCATGATTAAAAACGGTCTTTTAAACCTCAATGAAGAAGAGATATACAGTTCAAGTACCTGAGCTCACACCAGATTATATTTCCACTCATTCTTCTCAATTTCAGTCTCTAGACGATAAGACCGCGCTTAACTATTTTATTTCGCCATTTATTCTTGTCGAATATTCCACAACCTTGGAATAAAATATTTCGTGATAAGCTCAAACGCATGACTGATATTTGCGTCCGAAGAAAGCACGTCTCATGTGATTCGTCTGATGATGCCAATATTTCATTAGCTTAAGAGAGCGATTACTGCTGATTAATCGGGACTTTAAAATTCAAGCGAAATAATTGAATTTTTATGATTTTATTATTGGAGGACTTGTGGTTCGCACTGGATTTTTCTACAAGGTGTCTTATTCCCGTTCTGTTCTATTATCTGAAGGTGGGCTGAATTAAGTAGTGATAATAATTCATGAGTGGCCAACGAAAAGAATTATAATTCATAATCACGTACGAAGAGTGAAACCGATTGACTCTCGTCATTGCTAGATGGAAGGACGTCTATCAAAGCGGCTAGTTGGCTACATCCGGCCAATGTCGAGCGAGGCTGTCCATTGACTATTGCATGATGTACTTGACAATAATACGTGACCGGGTGAATTAAAAAAACAAATAAAGAGTACCTGTCTTCCTCTATCCTCGACAGCAACGAATCAGAAGAGAATATTATCTGCTTTTATTCAAGTGGTATCGAGTGTTGTACTGTCCCCTGAGAGTTTTGGACTGGCAACTTCGGTGTTGTCCAACTAAAGATAAGGCATTGTATCACAGGAATCATCTCTGATCATCGAGACTGTCCAAACCTCCCACTGAGATAGTCGCCACTCCAATTGTTTCATTCGCTGTCTCCATTTTACTTTTTTTTTGGAAAGCCCTTATCAAAAAAAAATCCATGTAAGTTATTATCACTGGTGATTAAACCTATCAGCGCCTCAATTTTTCATATTTGTGGAATTAATTCAGTGCTTTAATTTTCTAGGTAAATTTAATTTTATATGTGAACTATTTTGAGATTGCGATTTTTATCTTCTTCCTTCCGCATTTTCAGCTCCGATAAAATTATTCACATATTTCCAGTAATCACTATTCTACATTTTATAAATGATCTCCTATTGTATACAAATTTCATATTATTCCAAGTGGAATTCCGATAAGGGAGTACGTGCTCGTAATTAGCGAATGGAAAAACGATTGATTAAATGGAGAACAAAAGGTGTTTGGTACGTGGTTCGGAGTTGACTGGTGAATGTTTGTAACATTCTTCTATATATGTGACTGGTGTATGACGTTAAATAATAGCACGATAAGCTTCCCCAAACAATTTCGTCGTTTTTCTAATAGCGGAGTTCAAGTTAAATTTTTAGTGCTGTTTTTTGGCTAGATGAACGGCGCAGAAATAGACGAGTCATAACTGAGGATAATTTCTCAATGTTCAATATGATATATATTTTTCGTCGATTGTAGATAACTTATATGAGTAAAGGATAGACTAGCTACTTCACCATTACTCATTAGTAATTTAATTATATAATTTCGAACGAGATCTTGGAAAAAATAATATTCACCAATCGATCTTAATTTCTCGAGGATAAGACCCATCTGGCGTAATTAAATTACCCAATAATCGCAGAGATTAACCTTTAGAATAAATTGATTGTTCTCTAATTGGTTGGAATTGCGTTTGGAGGGGAATAACGGATCCACCTTGATTCGAAGGCAATTGAGTTTTATAAAAGCCGTTCAAGTCCCTTGTTGTGGGACATGATGAGAAGTTTATTTAGTTTCACTTCCCCGCCTATTGTTCACTGGATTAACTGGTAATCAAGTCACCAGCCCATACATAACGGAGGAAAGTTAATTGTTACAATGTGAGATGGCAGAAAAGACTTTTCCACAGACTGGGTTTACCTTTCGCTGAGCGATTCGTCCATTATCTGGTGAATAAAATTCCCATTGACTCCTGAAGAAAGTCGAGAATGATTTTTTCGCAGTCAATTTTTTTGTCACTCCTTTCCTGTCAAATTTCCATGGAACAAATTGGTTATTGAGAATCGAGACTCATTGTGGTTCTGGTCTGGTGGATGGAGTCGTGAATATGATTAAAATTTTTGGAGAATATTATGGGACGTGGGGAAAGCACCAATGATGAGGAAACGGAGACTGAAACCGTTGAAGATGACGTTACAGGGAGTGAGGCATCTACTGCAGCTAGCAAAAAAGTTCAACTCCTTGGAATACCGCTGTACAAATTGTCTTACAAGAGGCTGCCTAGAAAATGTCTCAAGTTTTCATTTCTCACCATAAATACTGCGACTTTTGTAAGTCCCATTGATCTCCATAGACTGAGAATTTTTCTCATTCGTCATATTAGTTGACAGGAATTTCGGCAGTAATTATTTCCATCTGGATGCTCTCGGATAGAGAATTGATACTGAGATTGACGGGTCAAAAACTGTTTGTCACGATTCTCTTGATCATTGGAATTTTTGCGAGTTGCGTTTCATCCGTCGGAATTCTCGCCTTTGTTAAAAGACGAAAGAAGTTGTGGAGTACAGTATGTAGTAATTTCCTTTGATTTTTCATTTCAAAATTTTCAAGCGCAAATTTTGATGATTCCATTTTTTTTCAGTATATTATTTGTCACACCTTGTGGTTAGCTACCATTTTTTTCACCTCGATATTCAGCTCGTCTTTCTTTGATCGTATAACGAACAAAATTCACGATGATATGAGGAGTACGATGATAAAGTATCGATCATTGGATTGGGTTACAGAAGCCTGGGACAATACACAACAATACGTAAAATAATCATTTAATAATTGAATATCCGTTAAATTCTCCGTATAATTTGTTAAATCTCCGGCTGTTGGCCAAAAATTTTAATTTTTAATTTTTTAATTACGAAAAATAATAGAATATTTGGCGTTAATTTAGTTGAAATGTTGCGGTATCCGGTCTTATAAGGACTGGGAGGAGAATCGGCTAGAAATACCGCACAGTTGTTGCTCCAAAAGCATCGAACAGGTTGTTAGCTTTGCTCAACCAAAAGCGTCCAAAAATGCCAATGTCAATTAAAAATGTTTTTTTCCCCTCTGAAAATACATTTGCAGTGCCTTCATATGACGGGAAGTGTTGCCTTTGAAGCTGGTTGCCTGAAAAGTGCTTACCTCATGCTAAAATCTCATATTGACACAGTAGCAGTTTCCGCAATATTCGTATCCATAATCTCAGTAAGCCACGCGGTACATAATTCATCAGAAAACCTCATAAACATGCTTTTCTTTTCTTTTTGAGGGAGCGAGTTTGTTCTTTGCACGAGGAATGAAGAGAAAATTCAGGGCAATCCATTACACGAACGACGGTTCAACGTGAAATACAAAACGAAGAGATGAGTCTAAAATGAAACCAAAAAACAATAATAAAGAGTTTGAGTAAGAATGAAAAAATACGAGACGTCTTAAAAACTGTTTTCCCTTTTTTATTATCATATATAGATTCATATATTTTCTGAAAACACTTAATATATCGCACTTATAATAATACATATCATAAATTATTGGACATTCTTTAATCGGGTCTCGACTCCATTTATCATTGTGCCAAGAAATGTGGCAGTGAGTGGTTTTTAATGGAATTACCGACTATCCTAAATGTTCTGTTTGAATTTTCATTTTTCAATAGAAAATAAATTTTGATCGAGAAAAATTTGGGAATGGCAAAGGAAAATGTCTCGTTTGAATGACATATTAGAGTTAATTCGAAATTTTCATATTAAATACGAAATATTGACAATTTGTTAGCATTCTTCATGCTTATCTCCATTTGTTTTATTCCTTCGGGTGTTTAACTTGTAAATATCCAATTTAATGAGTTTATTTGAATACCAAGTATATCTGTTTGATGAGGGAACAGGATTATTGGGAATTGGTGGGATTGCATGGATTCTCATTTCGTTTTGTATGTCAGGCTTATTTTCCATCCAATTACAGATATATTATATCATAGCAAACATCGTGACTATTTACAATAAATACAGTCGATTAGATATTATATAAATAAAATATATATCGTATTGTTATAGTTTAGGTTTACAGCAACACGGTGACAGTAAACAATTAGATCAGCGGCAAAATAGCATAATTTTCTACCCTAGGTAGTGGTCGTAGCTATAGCATGGCTGAAATTGTGCTTGTAATTTTCATTATTCTTTCCATTTTTTCTCTCATCGAATTAACCACTCATTTTCGTGACCCATTGCATCACACTTGCAATCTTCATCCCATTTTTTCTTTCCGTAATAATTGAGTATGCAAGGGTCTAGCTACCAGGCCACCCCTATTCAGCATTTTTTAATTCACCCCTTCAGCTTTCTCTCCATCCATTTCAAGTAATTGAAAAATCATTCTTCTCTACCAAAGAATAAGTAACGAAAATTGTCGAAAATAAAGGAGATGAGAAAACTTCATGGAAGTTAGAAAAGCGATTTTCGTCTGTTATTAATATATTAATGCTCCTCCCATAGGAAAATTGATGTTGATAATTGGAGGATGAATTTGACACTTGACATTTTTATTTATTTTTCTCAATTTTTTAAAAAATAGTTGATTCTCTGAACGCCAGTATGTCGAAACCCGCTGGCGAACGAATAATTGGATTGCCGCGTAACGAATCATCTAGACGTTATTGAGAATTTCATTAGTTGATCAACGATATTGTCAGGATAATGCAAATAATCTCATTTGTATTACTCGTGAATTTATTCTCTACATTCTTCAAGTCGTCTAGGTAATTGTTCGTCGTGAAAAATACATAAAGCTTGCCTATTAGCTATTATAATACACTTAATGAGTAATTTATCTATCAGACATTTTAAATGTCCATTGTGTAACTATCTAAATTGTAATGGGGTGTCGTGTAAGTCCTCAATAAACTTTACCACTCATCCGCGGAGTTATATAAATGCTCATGTACTTGGAAAGGAGAGACAAGTTTTCATTTTCTCGATGTAAATAAGAAAAATGAATTCATGAGAGAGACGATCGAAGGGACTAGGAAAAAGATTAATCTGATGTTTATTCTCTCCTCTAATATCTGTTTATGGGAATTTAAATTGTCAGATAGCCACGTTTTCATACAGAAAACATTCATCGGTATAGATATTACATTTAGTCTTTTTCTGTTTGAAGAAACACATTTTATTCTCGTGTATTTATCATTTTTTTTTTGTATTTTCATTTCGTCTTATTTCATATCCAGCAAGCACAAATATTGATGTGTATTTTTTATACGCACAGTTATTCGACTTTCGGATACTTTATTTCGAGTACCAACGAAATAATCCATCACATAATTACGGTCCTTGGATCAGCCTGTCGGTTTAGAATTCCGATAATAATTTTCATACATTTACAGTCAATTATTTAATTTAAAAATACATCAGCTCCCATTTGTTTTTTCACGCCTCCAGTAATCACTCAATGTCTATCATCAATTTTTCCATCGATTCTGGAGGGAAAGCACCACTATAATACATTGAATGTTCTACATCAATAGAAAGAAATACAAGACACATGTATAAAAAACATCAATCATGGTCTCAACGCTCAGTAGTATCTCGATGTTTCAAAAAATCATACATTTCTCACTTTCAAGTCTCCTTACCTCGTTATTCCATCCAATGTTCAACAAAAAAAACGCCGCCTCATAGAGAAAAACAAGTGCACTGTACGTATATCTGAACTTCATTATTTCTCCCGAACCGAAAGAAATCATCAAAACGTCCAACAAAAAATATCACTGTATCACTTTAAATTTATCTTCCGGTAAGATTCACTCGTAAGTTTCGTAATCTTCTCTCCGAACTTCAGCGATGTAAAGCTAAATTATTGACTAGGCTCTTTCGCACTCTCAGTCACTCGAATAATCAGGAACTCTCAGCAACGAATGACCCTGTGGACGTCTTCATCAACTCATTCCATACAACTCCTCGCCTCATATTCACACTTAACACCCTTATAATGCTCTTTGTGACACACCAAAAACAGTTACAACGTGGCACCAGGAGCATCGAATGCACTTGAATGTTCACGCATATCCACGATTAACTCCATCACATACAATTCCATTACCCACACTATTTATCTATATAATTTTCGATCAACGTGCAAGATAAATTGCCCATCAACCTCCGGTAATAAGTCAGTCGAAATACTCTTCATCGTGAAATTCGTAATCACGATGGCCTCATCGAATTTGAGAATTTCTTAATTGCTACAACCCTATGGCTTTTACAATATATCATTCTGTTATTTCCATCTTCATAGTGTTTTGGCATCTTTGAAATACACAAATAGACTTTGGTATAAAATTTTTTGATAGCATCCTTATCAATGGTTTTGTGTACGTGTACGGTAATTCACCCATTGTCGCGTTACAGCGGCCAAAATTCTCCAACTTCTAGCACAACTCCTCGAGTCGCCAGAGTTTGCAGTCAGTACCTCTCCTCCTGCGTCGTTTTTTGCTCGATGAATCCGCTGATTTTTTGACAAATTTGATGTTGTAGGGATCCTCAGCCAGCTCTGGATAAAGCTGAGCATCGTGGATATATTCACCCTCGTAATTCGAGGCATAACCCGATTTTGTTATTTCATCCTGTTCAGCAACCATCCAATCGACGATTGTTAAAGTATTGGCTTTGAGTGCCTCACGCTCTCGATGCCACGCCTTTCTGATGGCCGTTGCCTTGGCATGATGGAGAAGCCTCTGCTTCTCTTTATCCGGCGTTGTGCCATATCGCAGATTGACAACGTAACTAGCACCATGGATTTTAACGTCGACAATACTGCTGCCACTGCTATTCTCATTGTCATGGAAAGTTGTGTTCACATTACCACCTAATCGTTTCAATTGCTCACGATCCGAGCCAGAATTCCAGGTTGACTCTTTAACGAAGTAAAATGCATCCTGCTGGGCATTGTGCACTACAAATGTAAATGGCAGGAAGTACGAACTATTGAATACCGTCGTAAAAACGTCACGGTAAATTGTATTCGCTACTGGAACGCTGGAGACCACTGCCTGGCCTTCAGATGTTCTGGATACCAAGATACCCTGGCCAAATGGTGGGTCTGATGCTGCACCTAGGCGACATGGAATTAGTTCACTCAGGTCCTTCTTCAGGGCTGATCTCGGAGGAGCTGAGAGACTTGCTGCATTCCCTGAATGACGTTCAGCTATGTGCGCTAGGAAGCCAGACTGGACGCCGAGATTTTTCGTCTTTTTCTTTCCCCCGAAGATGAGACCAGTTGGATTGAGTGATGGTGGTGAGAGACTGTCTGGTAATTCAGTTGGAAATAGCTGGGGGGACAATGACTTCAGGTCGTAGCCAAGGTGTGACAACCACGACATGTGATCTAAAATAAAATTAATAGGAATTTCAAATTGAGTGTCAATGTAAATTTTTATACTTTGGAAATGCATATAAGTAAGCATATGCAAGTAAGGGGCATGGAGATGTAATTTTAATGGTCGCCCATTTACGTCACACTTCATTAAAATAATGGCTTGCGACGTCGAAAAATCTATATAAATAGCTTTTTCCTATATTTTCCATAAGTATTAATGATTTCAAATATTCTCGATAAATATTAAATTCTCACTTGAGATAATTTCATCAACGTATGATGCAAAATCATCCGAAATCGATTTCGCTATACAGGTGAATTCACTCGCCTTCGCAATCCAAAGTAATCGGCTATCAAAATTTTATAAGAAAAACTTCTCGGCGATAAAATCTCAACTTTAACACATTTTAATATTTCAATATTTTTTATCAATTTTACATGGAATTCAAGATTTTATTCACACTTTCAAGACTTTTCTGGCTTATCTGCTGCATATTTTGCATATGAAACATTCGAGTTCTTATTTTCCGTAAATTATTGAATTATATGAGTGGTCCACTGACGGCGTCGGCGGGACATAACACACTCTTTTTATTTTTGGGTGTTATGAATTTTGATATTAAACTGACCTGTTGGTTGATTCGATTTGTCAGTATGCCTAGCATCGATGGGATCATTTCCATTGAATCTGTAGAGATGCAGATGAGTGGGCGTTGAAACTCTGTCAAGAACGTTCTCCCATAGCGGTGACATCCATTGTCCAATCAGTGGATCGTATACTTTTCCATTCGGCATGTGAACTAATGATGTCACCTAAAAATACAAATTGAATCGATATTTGAGTTAATAAAACCTTGTGATTATAGTGTCAATGAGTAACGTGATTGAGTGATTGAATTATGGTGGTACGAACCTGATCAAGTAATCCACCACAAAAATCGACAGGCAAATACAGATAAGGATTGGAATCATACACAATATGTCCATAGGGTGACCTCATAAGTTCCCGAATGCCCTCGCCATACTGATTGAATATCATAATAGGTGTTCCACACTGATCGGTAGCAATGTAATATTTGTGGCGATAAATTTGAGCGTAAATCAGGTGGCCTCGGTCATCATAAACAAGTGACATGAGCTTGCCATCTCTCGGGCTGTAAATCTGGCTGACCTCATAAGGTCTCTGCTGATTGTTGTAGAAGAATTGCGTGACATTTCCATAATTATCCTTCCTCGTAGCAAGTCTGTCCAAGTGATCGTAGTAATAATGAACGTCGAAGCGACCCTTCTTCGCAGCACGAATCAATAAACCCTTGGCATTGTAGCTGAATTTCTCCTCCCTAGCATTTTGCACTACCTGACCTCGATTATCATATTTGTAGAGTCCATCGCCAAATTTGACGATTCTATCCATGGCATTGTACTCCATGGGAATAGTATTCCCTCTGTACGTCAACGATAGCATATTACCATTGCCATCGTACTTGAAACCCCAGGGCTCTTGTGCCTCAACGCCAGTCAGCTGTCCATCCGAGTCCCAAGTATAATTCTTCACATTAGTATAACTGTTGACTCCAACATTTCTCGTATCTGTTCTGGTCTGATTAATCCTCCCCTTAGAATCATGTGTAAATTCCATTCGGAATACCTCAAGTCCATGAATCATCACTGTAACTTGTGTCTCCAAAAAGTGCTTATCAGTAATTCGTGAGAATACGCCAGTGCCATCATAAACTTTAGTCTCATTGGGTGCAGGCCTGGAGACAGTAAATTGTCCAATTAGCTCTAGTGCCCCGGTGGTCTGGCTGTAAGCCATTGTGTGAGATGGCAGTGTTTGCCCACCGATTCTCCCCTGAACAGCGATTAACCGATAATTCGAGTCATAATCAAAAGTGAATTTGGCATTACTGAGGCCAGTTTTAGCTCCAAAGTCTATTCTCTCCTCAACCAAAAGTCCAGCACTGTACTGATAGTCCCACCTGTACTCAACGTCCTTCTCAGTGTGTATAACTTCGGACGGTTGGCCACTCTCAGTGTACCTAATCTCGCTCTTGCCATCCCCATGAACAATTTCCGACAATTGACCCCAAGGATGATACCTGTAGACTATTCTTGCTCCATCGCCAGGAAAGACAGTCTGGAGTAAATTGCCATCATGACTGTAGTGCTGCAAGTAAGCACGTGTACTGCCCGGTGGTGTGTAAGTGACACGAAGAAAGCCAAGCGATGCTTGACATGAGAATGAGTGTTTCGTATCAGCTGGTAGAATGATATGCCTAAGCCCGCCATTCTCATCGTACTCCAACGAGTATTGACGTCCACTGGCTAGTGTTATCGTCGATAGCATATTAAACTCATTGTACGTAAATTTACGTGTACCGTCTTGGCTGTTGGTGATAGTAGCGAGATTACCGAGATCATTGTAACTGTAGGATTCATCAGAAGCACCCCACCGCCATTTCTCTATTCTATTGTACCTGTCGTACGTTATATTGACACTGTGTCCATGCTCATACGGCTGCCAAACCAATGGCAATCCAGCTGGATCAAATGTCACGGTCAACAGGGGATTTCTGTATTTATCGTAAAACGTTTCACGGCTGAACGCCTGCTCGAATTCAACCCCAATCACCCGTGAATCATTGACCCAAATCTCTCGATTCAAAGTCTGCTGGAGGTGGCTACTGTCACCACCAAGAGTATACGACGTTGTCATTGTATTCGTTAATTCCCCAAGCGTCAACACTTGATAACTCCACATTGGTAGCATTTCCGCTTCAATGGGCAATGTTGATTCCAGCAGTGGATGCTTTGTCATAGCTGCACTTAACACTCTACCACCACCTGGTAAAAGAATCTCCAAACTGCTATTAGTAAATGACGTTGCTTTTTTAACTTTGGCACCATCAGTTATCGTAAGGATCTTGGATCTCTCCGTTCTTATTTTAAACTCAATCATACGATTTTTTTCACTCCTAGCAAGTGCTTGAAGTGGTGCCTCAACTTTAACTGATAACCCCTCGTCTTCGGACAGGCCGGAAATTAATTTTATCTTTTCACCAGTTGGTAGAATTACCTCGGAAACTCGTCCCAAACTGTCGTAGTTGTAAATGAAGGTCTCACCACCGCCAGACCGTGATGTCAATAGTCCAGTACCACCGCTATCGTAATCAAATGCTATTTCAGATCTACCTGTTTCGGATAATTTCACTAAGAAACCAACTGCTGAGATTTTCAACTCGGATTTGTGGTTCTGAGTATTCTCGATTGAACTCACAACACCGGAATAGTCCCGTAGGAATGTTATTTTGTTTCCAGCACTGTCGGTTACCGTTGATAGTTTACCGAAACTTGTGTTCTTGCTGTACAGAAATGAGTATCTTGTTTTACCGGATGTTAAATCCTTAGTTGCTACATGCTGCCCATAACGATTGAAGACATAAATCTCATTGGAAGGTGGAAACGGAATATGATACTCTCCGCTCTCGTCGTGAGCTGGTAAATATGGCTTAAGGGCTAGAATATGAAGACTTCCCTGATCAGCAACATGGAGGACTCCATCGGGTGCGACAGTTAGTGCCGAGATAGCCGTAAACTTTGTGTTAGATGATAATAAAGTCTCTGAGTTATTCCCATCATCATTGCAAGCACAAGTATCTAGATTCTTCGAATTGGGTGTAGTGTTATTACACTCGCACAGTCTCAGTCTATCCTGCTGTCTCCCAGCAAAGTGCGACATTTTTCCCGAAGAATCGACAACCCTGATGGAATTGACCCGGTGAGAATCAGAAGCAGCTATGTACAGTGCTCCAGTTGGACTGAAGGAAACAGCAAGAACAGAGCCAAGTACTTCATCCGGCTTCTTCATAACGAGACTCGTTGTGTTCGATTTGGCGACGGCATTGTTAGCACTGCTTGTGCAATGCAGTGGGGTTCCAGCAACAACCCTGACTTTAAGATCACTCGTCAGTTTGAGGACAAGTCTGTCGTCAATAAAATGCAAGGATCCATCGAGAGGACTGAGGGTAAGACCAGTTGGCCATTGAAGCTGTGCCAAATGCGCTGGAATGGCTCCAACACATGGAGCTGGTGACCAATGATTGTGATGACCATGATGACCCACAAGGGTATGAATAATTCCATTTGGATCAACTGCACGGATATTTGTACCGTCAGCAATATACATTGTTTTGTCAGCGGCAATGGCTATACCCTTGGGATGCGCCAATTTGGCTAGGATAGCTGGGCCTTCATCACCGCAGTGTCCCTCGTCACCTGGTATACAACGCTCACCGCTGCCAACAACTGGCTCAATATTGATACTCGGATCGGTAACCTCGTCCAGGGATAGTGCCTTCAGTATGCGATGTTTCTCGGGATCACTTATGTATAAATGTCCATCTGCTGGAGAAACACAGAGATAGTACTGATATGCCACTTGTGTTGCACTCAAGATCAATACTGTGCGGACATTTCCATCGGGGGTTATTCGACGAACGAGATTGAAGTCGCCGACGTAGATGCTGCCGTCTGGACCACTTGCCAGGGCAACTGGGGTGAGGAGGCGTGCATCGGTGGCTCGACCCTCGCAGTTTTGACAGACTAGACCTCGTTGGAGTCCTGTACCCATGACCACCTTCACTGCTCGTGGATACTGCTTGAAGTGGAGTGTGGAGCCGTCACCCTTCTGGAGAATACCCTCGTGAAAGTTGTAGTGGTGGTGAATGTCGAGGCCCCAGCCTCCGACGTCTGATATGTCAACGTCGAAGCCCTGGAGGGCGGCTGTTTGCGTCTCCCAAATAACTGAGGGACACGTCGAGTGTTGATAGCCAATTGATATTCTCGCTTGGGCCACACCGTACACTTTCTGCTTGTACACGTTTCGTTTGTTCCAAGCGAAGGTGTGCGTCAGATTGGGATCGGCTTCGTACGTTTTAGTGTGAACCGAGCCCTCGATCTCCACGTGGACGTGTACGTGGGTAAGGGATTCGGGTATCGATGCGCCTGTCAGCTGCATTCTGACGGTTGATAAGTAGCCTGCAGCTCGATTACTCTGGTACATGAGGTAGACGTTGGAGCCCGGAATGGGAATACTTTCTTGGACAATCTGATAGGTGAAAATGTGTGGTTAACAGTTGAGTGGTTGAGCGGTGGCTTGTTTGGAGTTTTAATTAGTTGCCCCCTTACCTGTGTTTCAGCAAACACCAAACTCTTTCCTGGCAAACCTCCAACCTTCTCCGGCATCCAAGTTGCCACGATAAGCGGCCTCACTGTTTCGTGATCGTGCTCCATACAGGGCCCATGATCACCAAGCAGTCCCATTGATATTCCTGGGAATCCTATTTATATTTTATTCGATAAATAACAGGAAAAACTCAAAGTGCAAATGATTGATAATAGTTGTGAATTGAGTCACAGAAATTTCAACACCGAGAATGAATTATTTAATGAAAATCACTGGTGTGGCTGAAGGGGCATTCTCCAGATGGTGAAAAATAATCAACGTTAATGAAATAAATGGGATTAAAGACAGTGGAGAATTTGTTGGCTACTGGTGGAGGGCACAGGGTACTTACCAACAGCTGGAGTTGGCGGGTGACTGGATTTATAGGACTCGCCTTCGTCGGGAAAAGTCATTACCACTGGTGGCAGTACGACAATTTGATTCCACGGTACAAATACAGTCCTCGTCAGGGGCTTGAACGGGTTGCGTTGGAACTGAAGTGTCACAGCTCCTCCGCCATTGACGAGAATGTCGAACCTTGATTGAGACACGCAATTCAAGCATTAGTGTGTTAGGAGCTATTGATGATCAGACCACGAATTGGATTTTGGGAGAGTATTTCGAGTGGACGCATTAACGAGAAGGATGTACTTGAGTGGATCCTAGTGGTTTGTACGCATTGATCGATTTATCAATAGTACATGCAGTTTTCAAGACGCCCGGTTTAATCGCTAATGAGAAATCATAATGAAGGTGAGGGCTCAAAAAAATGCCTCATGCCTCGAAAATGAACTCTATTTTTCAAATCATCAACAGCCATTAATTTTTC